TTTCGGGCAGCGTGTGACGGTTTCATTGGAAGTTTGAAGGCCATAATCCATACCAATTTACCAATTTGGTTTCATTAAACATTTTTTGCTTTCATTCAATAAAATTGAAAAAAAAAATGTAAAAATTATGGCGTTTGACTTTTTTGCAGTTTTTTTAACTCACCCACCTCTATGGGAACTTGGAGAGACGTAGTAAATTTTTTATTTTAAAAATATGTCTTCATTTGCACACCATGAATATCCCCAAATATTTCCAAAATTATACTTCTAAACATCAAACAGAGAATTCCCCCTCCAAAAAAAAAAAAAACAAATAAATAAAATTTTAATCTGAATATTTCATCGAATAAATAAAACATTTATGTTGCTGCTGCCCATCTTCTTCATCTTTCTGTTGGTGTCATTTAATTTAGCATAAATTAAATATAGAATCGGCAAATAGACAAATGAAATGATTTCAAACGACGTAAATGGAACAACAACGACGGTGGAATCAACAACAACATCGCAAAAAAAATAAAAACATTAGAAAATTAACAACAACAATAGCAGAAGCAATATCAAAACATAACAAACAACCGAATGAACTCCCTCCCGAAAAATCCCCACATAGCAGCAACGTTGAATGAAGAGAATTTCAAAACCCAAAAGCAAAATCCGCCGTCGATCGATGTTATGCGCCATAGCATAAAAATATAAAAAACAAATAGAATGACGAAAATAAAAACACAAACAGTTAATATGTTGGGCGGAACGGGACGCCGGAGACCAGCAAAGAAAGTAAAAGACGAAGTCATACTAAAAACACACAGAAAATACGAAAACAACGCAATTTCTACAACAAAATAGGTTTTGTGTGTGTGTAAATATGGTACACATTTTTTTGTTGTTGTATGTATGTGGATATTGCGAATTGTTGCTGTAGTTGTTATTGTTATTTAATTTTCCAATATGGTCCCACCACACTACCTCTAGATATATAAAATAATTATAGTAAAGATCTCCTATCTGTAGAAGATCTATCCGTAGTACACCTGTTGGAGGTATTCTATCCATAGAAGGCCTCTAAAAGGTCTCCTATCGATAACAAGCCTCAAGAGGTCACCTTTCTATAGAAGCCCACTAAAATAAGTCTTCTATCCACAAAAGTTATCTATATATAGAAGGCCTCTAGGAGGTCTCGTATCTGTAGAATCTATAGAAGGCCTCTAAAAGGTCTCCTATCTATAGTAGGCCTCTAAAAGTTATCCTTTCCATAGAAGGCCATTAAGAAGTCTTTTAACTATAGACGTTCTCAAAGGGATCTCCTATCCATAGACAGTCTCTAGAAGGTCTCCTATCTATATAATGTATAGAAGGTCTTTAAAAGGTATTCTTTCTATAGAAGGCAACTAAACAGACTTCTATAGAAGTACTCTAAGAGGTCTCCTATCCGTAGATTCTATAGAAGGCCTCCTAGCTATAGAAGACCTCTATCTTTCTATAGAAAGACACTAAGAAATTTCCTATTTACAGGAGTTCTTTTTAAAAGTATCTAATCTATAAAATACCCTTAAGAGGTCTCCTATGTATATTTGAGTTCCTCTGCCTATTTAAGATCTTTAAGAAGATATATAAGAGGTTATGGATATATAGCAAAACTTTTTTAAGGATAGATATCTATACAACACGTATTTGAGGTTGTATGGCAACTGAAGACCTATAGTTGGTAGTAGTATAGTCCGTAGAAGTCCTGTCGACGTTCTCCTCTGTCTATAGGAAGCCTTTCGTATATAGAAGACCTTGTCGGTATGAGAAAACATATTTGAGGATTTTGAATACGTTTAAAAAGTCTATCTATAGAAGGCCTTCCATCTATAGAATCAAGAATCTATAGAATGAAAACATATTTGAAGTATTCCAGCTATTAAAGGCTTATGGAAGATTTTGATTTATTAAAAGTATTTATTAAAGGTTTATTAAAGAAGACTTTTAGGAAGATCTGAAGAGATTTTAAATGCCTAGAAGTCCTGTTGTAGGTCTTCTGCCTTTAGGAGACCTTTCATCAATATAAAAAGAGTCTTCTATATGTAGAATACCGATAGGAGGTATTATCATTATAGAAGACCAGTGAAGGATCTTCCACCTATGGAAGACCTGAAGAAAGCCTATAGATGACCTATAAAACGTATTATATCTATAGAAGACAGACATTTTTTGCGAATTCTAAAAATATAAATCCAACATTGGGTTCTGTTATGGTAGCAATTCCTTCCTCGCTGAAATTAATCAAAGGAGACCGACTGTTGATCCCCTCTGCAGCTCGATTAGGGAGCCGTGGAAGTAGTCAAATTCCCCAGGGGCCCGATTATCTGGGTCACCTATGAAATTCTCAGCCAGTCCACTATTGGTCAGCGAAACACATTGCACATGGTTTGTCAAGGCTTCAGCCTTTTCACCGTCAACCGTTAAAAGCCTCCCTGAAAGATCGATAAACTGAACTACAGGTTCGTTCATTTCAGTCTAAAAGCCCTTTGACTCTGCCAAAAGTTTTACGACCTATTCTGATTCTCCCTAGATCATTTTTGAGTCGTTCTCGGCCTCTAACTCTCTGCGATTAAAGTTCAGAAATATCTGACATTGATGTCTGGCAATATCCTTGAACTTGTGGAAGAAGGTGTTCTCCAAGAATTCGGTCTCTAACTCTCTGCTTAGGTACATATGTTTCTATAGCGTGACGAAAAAGTTCTCCTAAATTTTCTACACAACTAACCACCTCCTCTACAGAGACGTATCTATTAGCTGCTTATGCGATCTCATATAAAACCTCTCCATTAGGCGATTAAAGTTCAGAAATGTCTGGCAACATCCTCATTAATATTTAAATTTGAATCCGACCGAAATCAAAAGCTGCTTAATACTTCCATTGCCAACCAGAAGGAGTCCTGGTGTACTTAGAAAGAAATCAAGAATCGAGTCTGTTGTCTCATTCGGCCTAGCCGGAACATCCAACCTTATTGCAATGAAATCGGGAATCGAGTCTGTTGTCTCATTCGGCCTACCCGGAACATCCGACCTTATTGCAATGAAATCGGGAAAAGTCTTGTAGTAATCTGTCCATGATTCATCCACTGGCGTTTTTAACAATGCCTCTCCACGAAAAGGGTTTCGCGTTCAGATCAGCACCGATCTTCATAAAGACTAAAAACATAACCCAAATTCTGGAGTCCTAGTGTGCGGTCTCATTCGACCTAGTCGAAACATCCGACCTTATGCAATGAAATTGGAACAATGTTGTAATAGTCTGCCCAAGATTCCTCCAATCGTCTTTCTCTCATTGCCTCCCCACGAAAAACGTTCAGATCCGCTCCGATCCGAACGTCTCCACCTTCATAAAGTCTAAAAACATACCGCAATTTTTGCGCCCTAACCTGAGAACGAAGCCATATCTTTCCATACCCTCACCCCACAGGATTAAATTAATTTGTATTCGATCACAGCGAGTCGATGCTAGTCTATTTTTAATAATACCTTTTTGTTAGGGAAACTAAAGAGCTAACATTTACAAAAATCACCTTAAAATTGGACATTGCTGCTTCGATACCTGAGGTGCTCAGAATTTGTTGAAAGATTGGGTCAAAGGTCTTAGCTTTCTCACATGTTTGGCTAAAGTCAACTCCGAAAAACTGGACCACATTGCCTGCAAGGATGTTATGGTAGGGTGTTACGAGAGCGGGGTGCGCTACTAGCAAGAGTAGGCGATGGGGCTCTGGGTGGGCACGACCAGCACAGGCTGCGGCATACAAGATGCCAGAGTGATTATTGGACAATCGTGCGGAACGCGCTTAAATTTTGGCATGGAGGTTGGCCTTTTCTTGTGCCTTCAGGTACGTTGGCAGAATGCCCAAAAATGCCACAGTAAACACGGCCAAAAGGCTGTGCAACTTTCTTGACTGTCCTGTAACAGGGTTAGTACACTCAACATATTTTTCCTGACCACTAAATCAAAAAACATAGAGTATTTCTGGATGTACAATTATAATCAATTAAAAGCTGAGATAAGATGGCAAGGGGAGATTTTTTTTCTGAGTAGTCCAAGCTTATCCCAAACATCTGCAATGTTCGCTGGAACTCTCGTGCCATTCTAGCTCTCCTTACGACTATTCTTATGCCTGAAAACCGGAAAAGGCTTTTCGATCGTTAGGTAGATAAATGGTTCAGAAGTCAGTTATTCCGCGCTGAAATTTTTCGAAGGACTATCAGTGACTCTGAATGACAACCCAAAATCTCTCAAATGTTGGAAAAGGGCTAGTAACATTTCCCGAAGAAGGCTAGTACGATTCAGTACAGCACTGAATACGCATACGGTAACCCTAATTTACACAGCTTTGCTCAATTGTTGGTGCTTAAATCTACTTTAGAAAAAAGTGCACCAAAATTATTTGTACAGTACATTTTCGGGTTATTAATTTTTGTTCTTTTTACGTATGAAAATGAAACTCAAAGAGCAAACATTAAATGATTGCAGAATTATCCTGGTTGATAAATTTCAGATTACTTACAAATACTTGAGGACAAGTCTTTTGTCCTCAAGTATGCAAACAAAATTTAAAATACGAAGAACAGCCCCAAAATTAAACAAATTTAAATCTGTAATCGTCTCGAAGTACCATATTGTGAAACGCATCTAGTCTCGAATGACCATCTCCAACCTTAAAGAAAGGTTGAAATCTGAATTCGACTCATCATCTCACTGTTGATGAATTTATAGATAATTGAAAATTAAAGCTCTATATTCGGCCCGAAGGACCATCTCCCACATTAAAAAAATGGTTAATGTCCGTATTCGCATCGAAGGACCATTTTGTGAAACAAATCTTTTAAGTCTTTATGAGAAGTTTTTAATATGAAGAACCAAACAAATGTTGTTCAAAAATTAAAAAAAATGTTACATAAAAATAAAAAATATATATTTTTATTAAATACTTGAAGATCGAAATCAACTCAAAAGGGGGTCTTACCTTTGGGTCGAAAATTGCTGCGCTTGCCGTAACGACAATTGTAGGCCATAGCTGCATTAATTTCAATTTGCAGAAAATATGATTTCTTTTAAATAGGAAAAATATCGAGGGGTAGAAACGACAGGCTATAATGTAAACGACAGCGTTGAAGGGGTTTGTGTTGGGGGAGACAAAAAGCGCCGGGGCTTAGAAATTCCGCAATGAATTTCTAAATGATATTTTTTCTTCTATTTTTGTTGAAATGCTGAGTTGTTGTTGTGATGAGGTTGATTGTTGGTGTTTTTAAGTGATTTATTTTTTTAATTTTTATTCTTAAATATATTTATTTTTTATAAAATTTAAATTTTATTTTTTTCTTAATTTTTAATGCCAAAATTTTTAATTTTTTTTTTTTTTGTATATCTAAATGCTTGTTATATAAATTGATTTGATTCTTTGTATTATTTTTTCTTTAAATTTCGAAATACTTTTTGGTTCGCATATTTTATTTGTTTTGAAACAAAATATTATTGAATATTTATTTTAAATGATTTTTTCACAATTTTTATTTTTTGGTTTATAATTCACTTCTTTAATTAATTATATATATCATTTAAGATTATGTATTAAGCACATATTTATATATATTTTTGTTAGATATCTAAGCGATATTTTTTTATTTATAATTTTTTAATTATTATTTTATATTTATATATTTTTTGCAAGAAAGAAAGGAACAATATATTTTTATTTTATTATTTTTTTTCTGAAAAAATCAAAAGGAACACAACACCAAAATAATCATGTAATATTTTTAAGATTTATATGAATAATTATTATTTTTTTTTTATATTTTTTGTTTATAAAATTGTTTGAATAAATGCTCCGTTATTTTTATTTTCAAATTTGGTAATCGATTACACGTTATTATTATTTGTTTGCTTGAAACTTTTTCCAGCGAATATCTTTAGATATTTGATATTTATTAATTTCGTATATTTTATTATATATATCATTATCGCGCTTTATATATTATTAGATTATAAAATAAATATATATATTTTTGTAATTTATATATTAGTATTGCTTATAGATTGGACGACAATGGATATATGATGCTGTGTTGGGTGTATTTATTTTTTTAATTAATTTTTGGTGTTAAAATAACTCCGCGATGATTCGAAATCACAAATATTATTTATTTTATTTTTTGTTATATAAAAATGATAGATTTTTTGTATAGATATATTTTTTATTACAAAAACAATTCGTGAAGCACTAAAAGATTGTTGAAATTCAATTTAGCGATATTACATCCATTTTGTATTTTTTATATATACTTTTATTTTATTTATTTATTTCACTTTATTTAAAAATATTTTTTTCCAATTTTGTAGAGGGTGTAAACCTGTAATGAGAAAAAAAAAAAGAAATACATATTAATAATTATCTCACGTTAATTTGTGGTTCAAAATATTTCATCTCGAAGGACCATATTGTGCAATAAATTCCTGCAAGTCTCGAAGGACCATTTCAAAGATTTGATAACTTTAAAACATCATCACTTAAAATTTACAAAAAAAAAATTAAAATCTGTATTCATCTCGAAGGACCATATTCTGGAACAAATTTGCATTACTCTCGAAGGACCATTTGCAACATTAAAATACATCGAAATTTATATTCGTCTAATTATATCATGCAGATGTCTCTGTAAAGTCATAACCACGACTTTACAAAGCAGCAAACAAATAAGTATTAGACTCGAAGGACCATATTTAACCTTAAAAAAAGGGGCACATCTGAGTTATGTTCTTATGTGTCTTATAGAGGATGGATATCAACAGACTGCTGATGAATATTTGTCTCGAATGCCATATCCAAACATAAACAAGAATTTAAATCTGCATTCATCTCGAAAGATCATATTGTGAAAGATATCGGTATTCAAATCGAGTACCATCACCAACATTAAAAACAATTTGCAGATCATTTCCAACATTTAAAAATATATTTAAAACTGAATTCGTCTCGAAGGACCATTTCCAACGATTAAAGCAAAATCGAAATTTGTATTCGCCTCATTACCTATTGTAAACTCATTACCACGACATTACGGACCAGCTGCAATATTTAAAAATATATATGGAAATCTGCATTTGTCTGGAAGGACCATCTCCAACATTTACAAAATCCGTATTCGTCTCATCGCCAGACTGCTGACCAATTTACAGAGCATCTCCAACAATTATTAAAATTTTTGAAATTTGCAATCGCAACCACATTATAGAACAAATATGTATTTGTCTGGAAGTACTGTCTCTAACCTTAACTAGGATGATAATCTGCATTTTTCTCGAAGGACCATATTGTGAAACAAGCCTGCTTTCAACTCGAAGGACCATCTCTAAACATTAAAAACTGTTTTTTGTTAATTTCTCTTTCGAGATGAGCTACATGATCGGAGTTGCAATGAAAAGGAAAGCCAGAGAGATACACCACTATGCGACGCGTTTCGCCGTTGGTTAAGCGGCTCATCAGGCATTTTGGGCAATGTGGCTTACAAATGTCTTTACTTGATAAGTTGTATTTATTTCGACTATTGTTGCGAAATTGCATCTACGAATTAAATTCAACCGTGTCAAGGTTCGGACATTTGGCATCACACTGGAACATTCCTTTTCAGAGCAGATTTTTCTTGTAGTGACGGACTTTTTTCATACAGACTACAACATTTTTTCTTCAATGGTATGCAACTGCATATTGTGCAACCTTAGGAAGATAAGGATGTGGCTTTGAACGCCAAGGCGCCGGACACCAACAGATGCCATGGGAACCAGGGTTCAAATCCCAGCCGGGCTCAAGCTGAATTTTTGAGTTTTGTATTTCACTCAAGAGACCCTTTTGTGGAACAATTGTTATTATGACGAGTACATTTATATTGAGATCCATATTTATTGCATCAAACTGCCGTTGAATGTACCGATCAGATCCACATGTAAACAATTTTAACATATATGTGTATTCGTTTCGAAGGACCATCTTCAATAAAATGAAATCTGTATTAGTCGCGAAACACCATATTGTGGATGGAACCCAATATCATTATGATGGCAACATTTATGAAAATCACTTCGAAGCAAATATTTTCATGTTTCTACTTCAAAACTGGTCATGGGACGTTCAAGTGTGAGTGATAGACCCCCTAATTTTTTACAAGAATTCCTCGGATAAATTGATCCTATAAAAAAACATGATTGCAATCTTTAAAAATACTTCAATAAGATGGTCGCAGCCGCCGAAGCATAGATCTATGCATATAATAGTAAGGAATTCTGAGTAGTACACGACGGCTACTGCATCAGTATGAATGCTATTCAGACCTACTCGATAGGCAGCTTTATCTAGAGGTTCCCCTTTATAACGTTGGACAAACCCCTCTCTCTAGATAATGCAGATCCTGACACGTCTAGGTGGGGAATTCTTACCCACTTAGGCCTGGTACTGCAACGAAAGCATATTGCCATGCTGACGTAAGGGAAGGTTCTACGTCTCCTCATGGAGATGGCCCACTGGTGTCATGAGGAGGAAACTTGTCGTAGTTCTTAGGACGGCGTTCTGACAGGTCTGAATACTTCTCTATCGTGTAACAGTAGTATTCGCACACCACTCTGGTACCACATAGCTCGTCATAGACCGACCTATCGCTTTGTTTCCTTATCTGCGCTCCAAGTGCTGCCGGCAAGCGACTTGAGGACCTTGTTCCTATTTTTAAACTTATCGCAGATATGTGTGGTTTGCGGGACGATTTGAACATGCTGTCGAATGTGTCCCTGAGAGATCTTATACGATGTAGTACCATTCACTTCGTCCTGTTGCTCTCGGGATACTCGACAAAATGTCAGTTTTCTGACCATGTATGGTTCACAAGAGTCTAGCTCATGCGAGTATTGAACAGAGTGGTGCATAAGGAATGGTGCGGTCCTTCCGCAGAACGTTGTAACCATTACAGCGCTGTAGACTACAATTTTCATTGAGCTTGGTTTCCTACACCCCCGCGACCAAGATATTCTTCCTAATCATGACGTCCACTATCTCGCCAATTTTTCCTCGAAGACCGTTGCAATTAAATTGCTGAAACGATGCACTATCAGGAGTAGGAACGTACGATGTTAAATGCTGTATATTGGGTTGATGTTGAGGAGAATGCGGTGGGGTTCCGTACTCCGAAGAATGACGTCGTGGCCGAAGACTCCCTGAGACAACGTATTCCCTTTCGCAGTAGTCTGGCAACCGTTAAGTGACACAAGGTCAGCAGTTAAAGTCGCAAAGGACCTCTCGGAGCCTTTCAATACCGAACGAGGATTCAGAAAAGGTGACAGTTTGTCGTGTGTCCTATTTTGACATCATGCTGACAAAGGTCATGCGAGAGGCAAAGGCAAAAGAAATTGCACTCTGTACACCAAACAGCATATGTTACTCGTCGACGTCATAATGGTCAAAGTAAGCAATTTAGAACCTGGTGTAAGCAGATGATATCTATGGGCCGATCTGCATCGACGGCGAATACCGTCGTCCGATTGAAAGAATCAGGTGGAAGACAAAATCTCGGAGCGCGCTTGGAAATCGTTTTTAATTTGTTAATCTTATATCAAGCGAACGGAATATCCAATTTTATCGAAACTTTGCAACATATTAATATGTTTCCGTACATATATATTTATTTTCCATTTTCAAAGTTAAAAAGATATAAAACACAGATTCACAGAACTTTTTTAGAAGTATGTGTGTTGGTATTGCTGGTAAAATTGACATCAGCTGATTTGATGTAGTACAATATGCCCTACATAGTTTTTTGCCTTATTCTAGAACATATAACGATTTTCCACAATTTCTTCTATGAAATGTCCTTACGACCATGACACCTTCATATGCAACACAAACGCAGACACACTCAACACTTCACATAGATTTTATAATTTTTTGGAAAGGATGGAGGAAAACTGCAATCTTTTTTTCAAATATGGGTCAAGCACTTTTGTTTATATTCCGAGACTAATTCATTAATTTTTTCAACTATTCTCC